TCCGCCGCGTCTGCGTCAGCTGCTCACGACGACGTCAGCATCGGCGAGCACGGCAGCCACCGCGTCGCGGACTGGCGCGATCCGAAACTACACTGGCTTGCGTCTCAGAAGACCCAATCCAAGTCTGGCTCGTCCGACTATCCCTCCCCCTCCTCTTCGTCGAATCGCCAATCCGCGTCCTCGTCGACCTCCGACCCTCTTCCACGCACCGCAGACACCCCACCCGAGGTCCGGCAGCTCGTGCCGCCCGCATGCACGGACTGCTCCGCGTGCGGCGTCCTACTCGATGCATTCCGCTACGTGTGCTCGACGTGCGGGGAGCGCACGCCGCGCCCGCGTGCGAGCTCCGGCGCGAACGGGCACGCAAACGGTTATGCAGACGGAAAGGGCAAGGCGCGCGCCGACGTCGTCGACGTATCGATGTTCGACCCGCTCGCGTACCCGCCGCGCGCACACACGAACGGCAAGCCGTTCCCCGCGCGCCCGCGCCCGCTGCCCACGCTCCCCTCCGCGCCCTCCGCGCCCTCCGCGCCCTCCGCGTCGTCCGCGTCGTCGTCGTCGACGGTCGCGGGCGACGGCGGGTACGAGCTGTGCCCGGGCTGCTTTGAGACGGCCGGCGTGCTGCATGCGCTGGCGGGCGGCGCAGCGCCCGACGAGCCGACCTCCGCCTCGCCGGAGGACCAGCGCACGCTGAGCCAGCTGCGGCGCGCGGCGCCGAGGCAGAAAGGCCACTTCCGCCATGCGTACCTCGAGAAGCTTTGGAGCGCATCGGGGTGGAAAGACGTCGGTACGTGACTCGTCTCTTTTTGATCTCGATATTAGCGGATGTTGAGTAGTCCGGATAATGCAGAGCAAGACAATATAAGCGAGTGTACGATCTGCAACACCTCTCTAACAGCGCAGCGCTACAAATGCGCATCGTGCAAGAACTTCGTACTCTGCCGCGCATGCTACAGGTCCGTGTCACCGCCAATCATGATGTCCCTCTGTGTACTTGAACTTGTCTTTTTTTCTAGCCAAGTTCACGAAATCCATCCTTCACACGCTTTCCTCGATGTTCCCGACCGGCCACACCGTTCTCGAAGCGAGCCTGACCTGGAGCTGACAAATAACCTGAATGATGACGGGCTCGGGGACGAATGTAAGCCATTCGTATCTCTAAATGAAAGAAATATTGACAATCCTGGACTGTGACAGCTCTAACGCATCCAGATGTCAAGTGTGCCCAGTAGGTTCACTGCTGACTTTCTTTGAAACAAAGCTGACAAAATTTGATAGTTGTCTCATGGACATAGTAGGCGCTCGCTTCCATTGCGCAATTTGCGAGTCGGTGGATATTTGTTCGAACTGCGAGGCTGCTGGCTTGCCTGGAAACCTAGATGCTGATGATGGTGGTCACAATACCTCCCACATTATGATAAAGGTAAGTACGACCGACAGAAATAAACACAGACTGAAAGTACTCCGAACTTAACTAACTAATTGATTTTATCGAAGATCCCCATCCCTTTGAATTCGAGCAAAGTACAGACAGCGAGCAGACGCGCGCGGCAGCTATGGACCGGTCGCGACTCACTATACGTACAGCGCACACCCAGCGGACGCGTGCGCGCGGACTCGCTTCGGGAGGCCGACGCAGTCACCATCATCGGGTCTGGCTCGAAACATGCGCGCGGCGGCCGCTGTGACCGCAAGGCGCTCGACCACCGCATCGCGTGCAAGGGGTGCAATCAGAGCATCGTCGGCGTGCGGTTCCAATGTGCGACGTGCCCTGCGACGAAGAACCAGTCGTATAGCTTGGTGCGTTCTCCCGGTATTTGCAAAATGATGCGGGGCTTGACTGGAGTTGTTCTTCGCACTGCTCCCGTTCAGTGCACCAACTGCGAGCAGCGATCGTATCTCCTTCACGACCCAATGCATATTTTCTTTAAGCTACCGCGGCCCGTGGACCGTCCAATTGAGTCCCAATTCGCCATTCTGCCAATCCTGTACGTCCCCATCGCATTTCTTTCACATATCGTGTTTCGAAACTAACGACTGTTCGCGGATGTTAGGTACAGGCAGCCCGCAGGTCCAGCAGGTCGACTCAACTCCTCTCATCCTAAAGGTTCGTACGCCCTTCCATGTCCGGAAAACCCGTCCTCTTTTTCTGACGCATTTTCTTCTGCTGTTCCAGCTTATCTCGCGACGCTCTACCACAACGCGGCGCTGTGTGATCACTGCATGGACCGCATCAAGGGCGAGTGGTTCCGTTGCGTGTACTGCGCGAAGGATCTTTGCGATGTGTGCGAAAACTTGAACGCGCACGCGCACGATCGCACCCATTTCTTCTATGTTTTCAAGGCGCCGGTGAATACTTTGTTCTCTTGTGCTTAAAGTTTTTGTGTCTCTTATCATTGCAACTCGTTTTTATTTTATTTTAGGTGGATATGCAGATCTTCAGGTAAGAATAAATATCTTTGTCTCACGTTTTACCTGACCGTCCGTTGCTTCGCAGGATCGTCGCAGAGCTGGATAATCCGGAAGGGAGTCCACCGGTACTGAGCTATCCCGTGTATTACTCGTAATGTCACTTCTGTTCGCTATCATTTTATTGCCATTTTAGCATTTCGCATCACATATATTCTGCCTTTGTTCTCCTGTACTTCCAGTGCTTGTTGTATAAGTAGTGGACATACTTCATTCTTCTTGAAAGATTCATGGGTTAGCTCAGAGTGCGAAAAACGCGTAAACAAGACATAATAACGCGTCGTGAGGCGCTCTAAGCTATGTTTACAGTATTGGGCGTTTAGTTTGGAAAAGAAATCTAGACAGCAGTTTGTTCAAGGGTGTGACTACGCCTATACTTGATCTATATGCCGAGCTGCATACAGGTCTTCCACCTGTAGTATCTGGCCATATCTCTCTGTTCCTTGTCATCTTGAGCCTGCCCCTCCAGGTGGACTTGATTCACCGGAGTCCAGCCTTCCCGTGGTTCGCGTACAATGATAGCTTCGGGGCTACCGCCTACGCGACTGACATCAAACGTGGAGAGGTCGTCCACGAACAGTTTTGGGAGAACCTTTTTGACACACTTCCACGTTGACTATGCGCCTGTCAATCATGATGGCCACAAGAGTAAAGCATGGCTGGAAAAACGCACCGGAATGTGCATCTTGTACTCGCAGAGACCATGTACGCTCACTTTCACTTTCGTTTGCAACACCTGAGTGAAGTCGTATATATGCTCAGTGGGTTCGCCCTGGAAGCTTCCCCCACGGCGGTAGATATCGACGTCGATGCGGCGCAGGTGTGTGTCTTCTGCGCTCGGCTTGAACGGGTACAGGTCCGCTTTCTCTCCGCCATATCCGAAGTACTCGTGAACTAGGCGGAGCTCCGGGGTCTTCACGAGCTGCGCGGCGGTTACGAGACGTGTTAGTACGAAGATCGATGCAGCTGCGAATGTAAGAAAGGACGTACCTTCAAGAACGGCTTTGTCTGTATGCATAGTGGCTCCAGGGTGAGCGAGTTAATTCCGTCGATGGGATCGGTATCTTCTCCAGCTGGAGGTGTCCAATGTCCTATGAAGGTGAGACTTTTAATCTGGTCACGTTGGTCCCGGATTAAGTTCCACAGCTCCGCGGGCACGGGCCTTTCGACATTGCGCGTGAACAGCGTGAAGCTTGTTAGCCCGGGCAAGCTCTTGAGTGACTTCATCAGCTCGGGCATGAACTCGTCGGGAAGCGCGGGGACGTCCCCGCTCTGCGCGTCGAACAGAGTAAGCTCGCGCACCCATGCGCCCTTGCTGTCGAGGACCGCGAGGCGCTCCCTCGCGAACTCCGGGTCCCATGGCGTGCATGAAGGCCGTCCGCCGAAGCGCATGCCGCGGAGGTAGAGCTTGAACTTTCGGAAAATGAACTGCGCGCACACAGCGTTGAAGGCCCTGCAGACTGTCGAAAGCTCCTTTGTGCGACTCATGCGATCATAACCGCGCGTCTCTCGGGATCGATTGAGAGAGATGATGGAGGAGAGCGTGTCCGGTGCGAGATCGAGGATACTGACCATCGTTTGTTCTATGAGGGATTGCCTTTGCGAAGGTGAATGTCGAGAAGAGGTGGTCCTTTGTTCAAGTTGAAATGTGTCACATTTAAAGTCAGCGTCGGCTTTTCCCGAAGCCACATTGCAAGTCAGCCACATAACGCATCGAACGCAATTGCTCTATTTCGCGTATGCGACTAGAACTTGGACGTCCTATATGTGATTTAAATGTCACTGTAATATCTTGCATGCCTGCTATCTCTCTTTACTGTATCCGCAAGTTTGAATTAGCCCCTACCGCTGCTCGCCGTAGCTGCGTGCGACTCTGTTTCCTTCACTTTATTCGGGAACCGGAAAGATGGTAGCACATACAGAGACATCATCTATGCGCACACTCTAGTAAGTAAGAAGGTAAAGTGAAAGCGAGTGCGTTCAGTCGCTGGAGAGAGAGAGAGAGAGCGAACACTCCCGCAGCCGCCCAATGCACATGACCTGGCATGAATTCGTGACAGACGACGGAACATAAACATGAATGCACGCTCACGATTGAACCGGAAGCAACTTCAAGTGCTGCTAATGCATTGCTTTTACAGCGCGAGGGCGAGTGGCAGTATACAGTTCCTTGATCCTAGATACCATCTACGCCCTTGATTCTTGACGGACCGTCTCGCCTGTGAATCGAGACAGGCCCGGATCGTTGTTCTGCCCGGGCACATTTCACAGATTGATGCAGCCCGTGTTCAAACCTGGACTGAAGCGAAGCAACGACCTAAGTACAGTAAGTCTTCAAAAACATCCACTCTTGATCCCCAGCAAGTACAGTATTGAGTTCAACAGAGTTTGAGTATTAAATGGGCCCTTAAAACCTATGAATCTTCACTTTTTATGGGGAACTCCCTCATTATTTGTATCAGTACGAATGCCAGTGAGTTCTAGAATGAATGTGAACACCCTTGAGTTTCACATTTGTTAACATTACTATTGGCCTGATGGTCTAGTAGTATGATTCCTTGTTAGGGTGTGTGAGCCATATCGCATCATCAATCGAGGAGGTCCTGGGTTCAATTCCCAGTCAGGCCCAGTGTTTTTGTCCATATCCCGGGGTATTTCGGTCATTCTGCGAGTTTTTTTCTGATTTTTTTTTTACGATTTTCTTGAGCGAGGTGGAAGTTGTTTTGAGGTTTGATGGAAGATAGGTTCTGAAGCTTGGTCTGAATTGAAATGCACGAGCTTCACCACTGTCGGGTGCGAACTTCTTGATTGACTCTCCATAGATTTTTTTCGGCTGACATGTAATGTCAGAAACGGCTCGCATATCTCTCAATTCATACAGGCTTTTGACTTATGTTTTTAGAAGCCAGATGCAGTCAAAGACGGGTTCGGATCTCCTTAAGCACGGTCACAGACATACGTTTTACATCATATCGCACAAGAGCATAGCCGCCCGGATAGCCATAAGAACAGGGTAGCAGGATAAGTCTTAAAACGCTGGAGCGAGAGACAAAAGGCCACCGCCCTTCATTCTCTGTCATTTCCCAGTTATGACGTTTTTCTGGGTTTTCATGTGGAAGAGCAGATCTTGCACGAAATTATCGTCATGTTCGAAAACGCCACGAAATTAGAATTTGCTGAGCACTATACTTCCGTATGCGTCTCCAAACACGCGTAAAGGTGTTCTTAAATTCTTTCGACGTAGCTAGTTTCGAGGGCCACATGAGTCGTTAAACTTTAAGTTGTCTGTCGGCCAAGAGGCGACTTGCCTAAACCAGATGTTTGCTTTCAGACTGAGCGCCAAATACGTACATGTACACAAGCCTCATCGTCTAGCAAGGAGGAGTCAGGTAGAGGAAAATACATTGGATGACTTCCCGTAGGAAATTTAGGACACATCTAGGACGTTTGAGTGTCTAATTTCCATATCTTATCTTAAGACTTCTGCTCTATCGGACTCCGGAGCGATAGAGCTCGCCGGTCCAGGCCGGGGGTATCATACTTAAGCAGAGCGTCGATCCGATAGGAATCTCCCCGGGTAATCATAACGCACTAAAGGACCGCGGCAAGCAAACATACAACGCATACAAACATGTCTCCTGTTGCTACCGCCGAGTCTGCTCCAGCTGCTGATCTGAGCTCGATCAAAACTGCTGCCCAAGCAGTCGCGAGTCAGACGAACATCCTCTACCGCACTCCATGGCGGCCGCCCGTGACGCGCTCGGCGCATGGCATGTACATGGAACTCGAGGATGGGCGCACCATCATTGATGCTGTCGGCGGCGCTGCGGTGACATGCATCGGCAACGGACATCCCAAAGTTGTGCAGGCGATCAAGGATCAGGCCGACAAGCTCTCTTGTGAGTGATAGTTTTATTTTTCTATAATCAAGGTCACGACTAGGAGAGGTTGACTGTATGTACCAGATGTTTACCAGGTGCAACTGACGAATCGTCCAGCTGAAGACCTCGCCAAGATCCTCGTCGACTCTGGCAAGGGCGCGTTTTCCCAGTGTGGGTTTGTCTCTGGAGGTAATAAATTTCGAAAAGATTATTCCACATATTTCTGATCGTATTTTAAGGTTCGGAGGCAATGGAAGCTGCCATCAAGCTTGCTCGTCAGGTGAACATATGCACCGTCCTCATGACTCTCCGACTGACGCACTTCCTCAGTACTACTACGAGACAGGACAGAAGCAGCGAACGAACTTTATTGCTCGCAAGCTCTCTTATCATGGCAACACCCTCGGGACTCTAGGTCTTGCATACCACCCAGCGCGTCGCGCTCCGTATGAGGCCAATTTGAGCAAGGATTGCTTCCACCACGTCTCTCCAGCCTATGCCAAGCGCTTCCAGAAGTCGGAGGAGTCGGAGGAACAGTACGTCGAAAGGCTCAGACAGGAGCTCGAGGATAAATTCCAAGAACTCGGCCCCGACACTGTCATTGGCTGTAAGCGCGTTATTTAACGCCCGTAGAGATTATCTACTCAACTCTCGCGCATGCATTGACAGTCGTGGCTGAGACGGTCGTTGGAGCAACGAGTGGCGTGGTCCCTCCTCCAAAAGGCTATTTAAAGGCGATGAAGTCTGTTTGCGAAAAACATGGTGCTTTGTTCATTCTTGACGAAGTTATGAGCGGGATGGGACGTGAGTCACAGTGATAGCATTTATACTGCAATGTTTAAAATAATAACATTCACAGGTATGGGAACTCTTCATGGTTGGGAGCTGTACGGCGATGGCGCTACCCCGGACATTCAAGCTGTTGCCAAAGGCCTTGGTGGAGGGTAAATCTATATCTACTTTTCTTCGGTATACACTTCAGCTAAAACACCAACAGCTACGCGTCGATCGGCGCTGTTCTTATGTCAGAGAGGATTTCGACGGGCATCCGCGACAACTCCAACTTCTGGAACCACGGGCATACATACCAAGCGCACCCAATTGCCTGCGCGGCGTCGCTCGCCGTGCAAAACGTCATCATCGATGAGGATCTCATCGCGAAGGCGTGGACGCAGGGCGAGAAGTTCGGCGCGTACCTGCGCAATCGCCTCCTCGCGCCAAACACGCCTGCACTGCCGTTCGTGTTCGACGTCCGCGGGAACGGCTGTTTCTGGGGAGTGGAGTTCGACTTCTCCGGCTCCGAGGCGGCGGCGTACGACTTCAAAGGCAAGAGATTCGGCCCGCTTCTCCAAGCGCAGTGCTTTGAGAACTGCCTCATAATATTAGGCATGAGTGGGGGCGCGAACCTTGAGGGCACGGAGGGCGAGCATGCCATTTTCGCCCCACCGTATAACATCACGGATACGGAGATCGAGAAGGTGGTGAATTTATTTGTGAAGAGTGTGGACGAGGTACTCTCGGACGCGAGACGATGAGCTACTACGCGCCATTTTTCAATAAGGAGTCAAGATAACTAGAAGGAGATTTGTAAATAAGATAGAGGGAATATATCTTTGGTTATGTCGTTACTTGTCAAAGCATACCTCCTGTAGCTTACAAAATCAATGAGCACGGTTTGTTATACCCGCGTGCTTAAAGCTTATACCTATTCGTCATTTTAAAAAGGGGAGAAAGAGAGTGGGTAAAATATATTCATTATTTGTAAGATCTAAAACGCCACAGAGGTTGGGACTCCGATCCACGTAAAGGGTTAAGGGCCGTTAGCCTTTTTCGGACTCACGGGTGGACGGGCACCGTTACTCACTCACCGACACCGACGACGTAGACGCCGACGGTGCTCAGCTTACCTCAGGTCTTTCGCGAACTAGCCGGTTAGGTCGATGGCGGCCTGAATTCAATGGACTTCGAACGACATCAGGCAGCGTCGAGTTCATCGTCCCACACGCAGGCTGCATCGTCTTCATCGAACGCAAACCACAGTGACAGGGCGCCGACCCGCGCAAGCACACGTCTTAAAGCCGCAAAGGAGAAAGAGAGAGAACGGGAGAAGGACGAGCAACCGACCGAACAAACTGCTGTACGCCGTCCGTCTCTTACTTGGAATATGTGCGACGCTGACATTCCGATGCGATGCAGAGACGCGCCCGTGACCACGCTGGTAAAGGTAAGGCCAAAGAAGTTATTACCGATTCTCCATCTGCACCCACTCGTGCAAGCAAGAGGTAAGCAAAATCAACTTTGCGACCCCTACCTTACTTTGAACGGATCACTGACTCCGCTTTCCAGGACTCGTCGCGCCACTCTTCCGCCAACCGCTGCGTCCTTAATCATCAACGAACCCACCACTAAAGATTCGAAGGGAAAGAAACGCGCTAATCCTGACTCCGTTTCGGAAGACGAATCGACACCCAGCTCCCCGAAGAGACAACGCCCGTCCAGCTCCTATACGCTCCGAACTAGAAAGGATTTGACTTCGCAAATGCCGAAGAAAACCAGGTTTGCATCTTTATTGCTCAAAGCAACTCGTTCTTCTTAGCTAACCATTTCAAAGTAGATCTACGGCGAAGGGTAAAAGCACGGCAAAGGGCAAAGCCGTGGCGGCACCTGGACCTTCGCGACTTGAAGACGACGAAGAGATGATGGATGTCGATTACGGTGTGGGGGTGCATGATGACGAGGAACCGATGAATGAGGAGGAGGACCATCGCGATGGTGACGAGAATGCGGAGAAGAGTGACGATGAGCATCATGAAGAAGAAAGGGCGGTTCAGCCGCCAGCCGAGGCGTCGCCAGATTCTCGCCGGACTCTCGAGGAGACGATGGCGATGTTCGACTTCTCGCGGCTTGGGGGCTATATGAGCCAGCTGAACGCCCGTCTACGAACTCTTCTTAACAATATCAAGCCTTCGGCTGATCCGACGACGAAACTCATTGCACTCCAAGAGCTCAGTGAACTTCTTAGTATCAGTACTGAGGATACGCTGGCAGGTTCTTTCCAAGTCGAAAGCTTTGTCAGAGAGCTCGTTCGTATTCTTGGGGGTACTGGCGGTGAAGCGGCTCAAGATGAGGGTGACGACGACGATGAGAACAACGACGAAGATGCGGCGCTTGCCGCAGCGCTCCAAATGAGTGCCGGTGGCACCCTCCCTGGTGACGAGAACCTAGAAGCTCAGCTACTGGCTTGTAGATGTCTTGCTAACCTGATGGAGGCTCTTCCTGGCTGTGGCCACACTCTAGTGTACCATGGTGCAATTCCTGTTCTCTGCAGCAAATTGCTTGAGATCTCGTACATCGATCTAGCTGAACAGACTTTACTCGTAAGCTTCCTTATAAACCGAGCATTCTCATACGTCTGCTTAAAACTTTTCGTAGACGTTAGAGAAGATTTCAGAAGAGTATCCCAGCGCGATCGTGCGCGAGGGTGGCCTAGCTGCCCTCTTAAGTTTTTTGGATTTCTTCTCAATCGCTGTTCAGCGCACAGCCCTGCAGGCTGCGGCCAACTGCTGTCGTAATGCGTCTGCGGATAACTTGCCGATGATTAAGGACGTCTGGCCCATCATACGCAACTGTTTGGGCTACGCTGATCAAAGACTCGTTGACTTCGCGGCACTATGTGTCATAAGGGTGATCGAGTCTTACCATCGTTCGCATGCTGAGAAACTTGAGGTTCTCGTAGACACGGATCTT